TTTGGTTGTTTATTTCTTCAGCAAGCATTAAGTCATGGTGGGTTTGGGCCTTTTGGGTATCCCCACTATCTTATGGGCAACGAGCTATGTCCGTAAACGAATTTGCTGCTACAAGGTGGATGAAGGTATGCTCTTCAGCTTTATGGTTAACTTTGGATCAGTACATTCTTTTGTTCGGCTTCATATGGATTAATTCTACTGGTTCTGGACACTCTTACTTTGCAGAAATCTGCTGTTAATGATGACACAATCGGGCACAATATTCTTCACTCACACAGCTTACCAACTGGTGATCATTGGTATTGGATTGGAGTTGGTGCCTTATTGCTTTATGCCATACTTTTCAATGGCCTTGTGACTATGGCCTTGCTCTACCTAAATCGTAAGTTTAAACAAAGGTTTGTGTGTTTTTATGTGTTCATATTTGTTTTAATGATCTCTGAAGGTTATTGTTATTGACAGCACTTAGGAAGAACCAGACAGTGGTTCCAGTTGACAACACAGAAGGGAGCCCTGCTGCAGATGGTCAGTCTCCAAATCTGCCAAGTGATCTGTTTATAATTTGATATTTAAGTGGCACCAGGTTTGTTGTAATATTTGTGATCAGAAAAAATATCTCTAAAAAAAATTAATTTGATTATGCAGTGGCTGAACCAAACCCAAAATCGACTGAAACTAGCAGCCCCAAAAAGGGAATGATCTTACCGTTTCAGCCATTGACAATGACTTTCCATAATGTTAATTACTTTGTTGACATGCCAAAGGTCTGTTGCCTTGGTGCTTTTGATTTCCTTTTGTTCTTTTATTCTTTATACATATGTGATGCGAACTAGATTATAGTGCGTCACGTTTTTGTAGTGGATTTGGATATTCTAGCTGATGCAAGCTGAGGGATGTTTGAACTTTTAGGAAATGAAGTCGCAAGGAATACCAGAAAATAAGTTGCAACTCTTGGCGAATGTGAGCGGAGTATTTTCACCAGGCGTTCTTACTGCTTTAGTTGGGTCTAGTGGAGCTGGTAAGACCACTTTGATGGATGTCCTTGCTGGTAGGAAAACTGGGGGATACATTGAAGGAGATATCAGAATATCTGGTTACCCAAAAGTGCAACGTACTTTTGCCAGAATATCGGGATATGTTGAGCAAAATGACATACATTCTCCTCAAGTTACAGTTGAGGAATCCCTGCTGTTTTCTTCTTCTCTTCGTCTGCCAAAGGAAGTCAGCAAAGAGAAAAGACTCGTGAGCTGATTCATACTTCTTCAGATATTTATGGTCACTTTGTCTTTCCTCATCTTTCCAGTTTGTTTTTGACATAACTGTACTACTTTCATTTCAGGAATTTGTTGAAGAAGTAATGAGATTAGTAGAGCTTGATCCTCTAAGGCATGCTTTGGTCGGTTTGCCTGGCAGTTCAGGCTTATCAACAGAGCAAAGAAAACGCCTGACAATCGCTGTGGAGCTTGTTGCAAATCCTTCAATTATCTTTATGGATGAACCTACATCAGGACTCGATGCAAGGGCAGCAGCCATTGTGATGCGGACTGTTCGTAATACTGTTGATACAGGAAGAACGGTTGTCTGTACTATACATCAACCAAGTATTGATATATTTGAGGCATTTGATGAGGTTGGTTAGATCATTGAGTAAGAGCCGACAGAAAGCTTTCATATAAGAACCAAATGTCATGCATGCACTGTCTTCTTCTAATTGTGAATTTGATTTGATACGCAGCTTCTTCTTATGAAACGAGGGGGGCAAGTTATATATGGAGGAAAACTTGGTTTGCACTCGCAGACAATGATAAATTATTTTCAGGTAACATTGTAATAACCTGGTTGTATACTTAATCCTTAATCTAATCGGTCCACTCATTATCGTGTCAAGCAAAATAATATACTGGTTCATTTTCTTGTGCAGGGAATCAACGGAATCAGTCCAATTCCCAGCGGGTACAATCCAGCAACCTGGATGCTTGAGGTTACTACACCTGCTTGTGAAGAGAGAATTGGTAAAGACTTCGCAAACGTTTACAGAAATTCAGACCAATACAGGTATTTAATTTCATGTTACGTTTATAATGCGACTGAGACCTGTGCTGATTCTATCTACTTCCTTATTCTTTGTTGTTAGTGGGAACTGATTCTTATTTAACAAATTTCTTTAAATCTTGCTTCAGGGAGGTAGAAGAGTCCATCAAACAATTTAGTATTCCTCCATCTGGTTCAGAACCATTGAAGTTTGCATCGACATATTCTCAAACTACACTGTCGCAGTTTTTGATCTGCTTATGGAAACAAAATCTTGTATATTGGAGAAGTCCACATTATAATGCCATGAGGTTGATTTTTACAACGATCAGTGCACTGGTATTTGGTTCGGCATTTTGGAATGTTGGTACCAAAAGGTACACCTCATCTCTATTGTAGTAAGTTTTGAAATTTAGTTGCATTTCGAGCTCACATTGCTCTAATTGCGCACTATTCACTGGCATGCTGAATTGTTTGGCTTCTCGTAGTTTCAAATCTCTACGTACATTCTCAAAGCAGACTCGATGGAATGACCAATTACAAATGAATTTAAGGCTATATCTTAGATCTTAAGAGCATCATTAACTACTTGGGCAGGCAAATGCTTTGGCATTGATAACCACCCTTGGGAAGCATTTGGTAGCAGAAATCTTGAGTCTTTCTACGAATATACGAGTGTTGGAATTGAGTGAGAACATATTACAGTTTCCATGATATGATCAAAGACAAAGACTTAAGAATTGCTAGGGTTTTAACTTTGCATCTCACGTATGACATGTGGTATATGCATCCTCACACTCGAACATGATGGCAAAAGTATTTTACCCCTTATTGCAATTTCTTAACGAAGTTACGAATCATTCCACCAATATGTTCCATAGGGACTCACCTCAAGCACTAATGATGGTTATGGGAGCTCTTTATGCCGCTTGCTTGTTTCTTGGGGTCAATAACGCTTCTTCAGTGCAGCCAATTGTTTCAATTGAGAGGACAGTATTCTATCGAGAGAAAGCAGCCGGGATGTATTCTCCATTAGCTTATGCAGCAGCACAGGTAAGTGCCATACTATAACGAAAATGTTTGCAAAATTTTAATCTACGAAAGAACATGCGGTAATTATCTTATTTGCCTTCTCGACTGCAGGGCCTTGTCGAGATCCCATACATTGCTGTGCAGACAATAGTATACGGTGTAATCACATACTTCATGGTTCATTTTGAAAGGACGCTTAGTAAGATCCCTAATTTTTCCTTCTAAAACACGTTATTTGGAATTGGTCTTTCCATTAGCTGTGATATTATCATTTGTTTGACTACAGTATTATTTTCTAAATTCACAAGTGCACACTGTAACTGAAAATTCAAATTCTGTTTGGTTATGTGTTGTAGGAAAGTTTTTGCTCTATATTGTGTTCATGTTCCTCACATTCACCTACTTTACCTTCTATGGTATGGCGGCTGTTGGTCTCACATCTTCTCAACATCTTGCGGCTGTCGTCTCCTCTGCTTTCTACTCTTTGTGGAATCTCCTCTCGGGTTTTCTTGTCCCAAAGCCAGTAAGTAATATGCTTAAAATCGCGGCATGTCTAGTTCATTATTCAATGTCTCAACCTTTGTTTCATAAAACCAATCATTTTCACTCATTAACTAACCTTTGGTTTTTGTACAAATTTCATTTCAGCATATCCCGGGATGGTGGATGTGGTTTTACTACATCTGTCCAGTGGCATGGACCCTTCGAGGTATTATCACCTCGCAACTTGGTGATGTGGAGACCACGATGAAAGGACCTACGTTTCAGGGCACCGTGAAAGAGTACTTGGAGGTCAATCTTGGTTATGGCCCTGGGATGATTGGAGTTTCAGTCGCCGTGCTTGTTTGCTTTTGCCTCCTTTTCTTCAGTGTCTTTGCGCTCTCAGTGAAGTTCCTCAACTTTCAGAAAAGATGAGTCGAGGGTTCAGTTCTTCCAACTTCATGATCTTCCCGCGTTTCAGAATCTTGAAAGAACGATCCATCATCCATGTCATGAGTAAGAGACTTAAGTTCCACATCAAAGTTGTCGGAGAAATCAAAGCTCAAGTGGCGTAGCCTTCGCTTACAACGCCATCTACTGGTCAACAAAATCACAAATTTTCCCTTCTCACTAAAGAACTCATGAGGATAGTTACAATCTATGGAGAAATTTATATATGAATTAGCGGTCCCAATTTAACAGTTGGAACTCTATGAGCAGGGCGAAGTACATAGACTGCTGTCTAACTGTACATTCTATTGTCAATTAACTGTCCGATTTGAGAATATTAATAAGAATAGACGATGCAATGCTTTCATGGCGCCTTCGTTTTCCTTTTTCAAAATTTGAAGTACTGATATACAGTCCTTTAACAAGTGATTGCTTGCTTGAGATTATTGTGTCCACTGTTCGGTTTTAACCTTGTTTTGCAGAGGTATCATCAGACGGAGGACGTTAAAGGACTGATCTATGATGTTGTGGGATTTTCTTTACAGAGATTCTAAAAAGGAAGGTAGTCAAGCAGAAGTGAGAGGAAAATAGCGTCAAGCTGCCACCAAGCGAAGACATCAGACATCATAAGGTAACACAATTTCTTTCATGTGTCGATAGTCGATACTATGTTTATAGCGGAAATGAACCCTCTTTTGTTTTACAGATAAGCATTTAGGATTTAGGGTGTCTGCAAGAGGATTGCACGAATTACCTAGTAAACAATATGAAAATGATAACATTAAAACCAAATTTATAAAAACAGATGGTAGTCATGAGAAATCCAGCACACGAATAGGAAGTGTGTTGAATATGAAACTTAGGTAGTATATATGTACGTAGAGCTTGTAGTTCAAGCGGTTAACACATTTACCCTCGAGACCATAGGTTCGATTTCCACTCCCTCGCAATCAGTTGTATAATAAAAAATATAAAAAATAGGCAGTGCAGGCAGCCCCCTCCTTTGCAGTTAAAGTGAGGCTGGGGACAAGATGAGTAAAAATAGGAGGAGACAAAAACACCCTGTATGATCATAAATTAAGGAACAAGAAATAATGTAGTCAACAAAAACATGTATAGGAGGAGTTTGTGGAGCTCCACTTTCTCCACAAATTACTGGAACAATTTTAACCAAATGTAAAAAATTCATATGCTTTAAGTTTAAGGTATTAACTTTTCATCTCTCATACAATCTACCCAGTACAAGATTGAATCCAGTGTCTTATACCCTACAGTAAAACCTAGTCGATCAACTTTGTTTCGGGTTCCCAGTAGCTTAAACGGACAACGAAACAAGAGATCCAAGAATTCCCAATTGGCCAAATTTTCCATCTCAGTTTGAATCAGTCCCTTCTCTGCTACAATTTCTTTCCATACTTCTTTTTTGTCAGCCATGGATTTCGAATACCAGAACTCCTCCGAAAATGCACTTCCGTGTACTACTTCTACTCCGAATTTCTCTCCAAGAGCCGTCCAGATCTCCTTCCATGTAAAACTTGGCCCATTGATTGCATTGTATGACTGACCATCAGTGGAATGTGAGTATAAATCAACATTGGTTGCTGCCCAAATGTGCTGTTGAGCTACTAGCCTGGCATCCGAGCCATCGATACAAGTCTCTTCCCAACACCTTTTTGTCCCTCCAAACACAAAAGGCAGATTCAAATGCTTACAAATGGTTCCGAAAACACATAAACTCCCCATAAAATTGTACACAGTCCTACGAGAACTACCAATTAACAAACCAGGCCTGTGTACCGACCAAGCTACCTTACCAACCAGCCTCTCCTTTAGCAAGTCTTCTAGGACATAGTAAAAGTTGCACCCTTTATCCACTCTCGGGCAATCTTCATCGTAGTACCGAGCTTCTGCTTCATCATCGAAAGGCCCTAGCAACGACACGTAATGCTTCATCCCTGTCTGGAGAGAAACATGCTTCAATGCCTTCGCTTTCGGAACAATGGCATCCAATGCATTCGACATCATGGCCTTATTCTGCTCACAACACTCAACGCTATCCAACTGGTATCGGCTTGCCCAGGTGAGCCAAAACACATGAGTAACATCTTGCAACAGTGACAGCCGTTCTTCGGTTTCCGAACGGTTTAGCAGATCACATTGGATGAAATGGAAGTTTGAAGAACGTTGATCAATAGGTGGCATGATCTCCGGATTACGAGCTATGCCGTAAACCTTCCATTTGGGTTTTGTGACCAGCTCTCTGGCCAGCACCTTCCCAACTAGCCCGGTGACCCCGAAAATGGCTGCTACATGTTCAATGCCATTGCCAGCCTCTGGGTTCTCAGTTTCTTCAGCTGCCATTAGCACAATTAAGAAAGAGCTAGGTAGTTCCTGGATTGATATATGGAAGAATATATGGAGGAATAATATGACCTATATATAAAATAGAAAAGTCAAATCCTGATTGTAATCCTATATGGCCGTGATCCACACAATACATGGAATACCCTTTCCTAGTTTAGACAAATACAATATATGCTCACTTAAAATCAACAACTAGTTTGGGAAACTTTTATGGTATCAGAAACACAAACGTGATACATTTTCATATGTTATAATAACGGTGGACGACACGGTTTTTAAATTCCGGTAGAATATATTATTAACAAATAAATTCATGTGTTATATTAATTTGAGTAAAATAATAACGCTACGTAGCGCATTCTAAAAGCATTGAAAAATTGCTAGAAATAGTGTCCCCTTCTTTTGAGGATTGCTGGCACAATTCTTTGCGGCGTCAAAGCCTATTAGATGGCAAGTCTGCCGGCAGAATGTGACCCTTGCCGTTGTATTGCTGGCTTTATGGTTACATTATATTTTAAAATACAATATTGAGTGGTTTTGTGTTATTTAAGTTGTCGATATAGTTGAGGTTGATAAATTTAATGGTAGAGTACTTATCTCATATTCACAATAAGAGTTCGACTTTTATTTGAGAAAAAAAGATTCAACTTTCAATCTTCCTCTTTACAAAGATGTTTCTATACTATTCTCGAAATATAACAATATTGAGGGATCCACATGACATAAGTGTCTGTGTACACAATTGCCCACAATTTTCCTTATTGTTACACATGAAATTGTCTAATGTTTTGGCGATATTCTGTTTTAGTAAGGCTACTACGTAAGAAAATGGTTTGACAAAACATATCAAAGAGGCTCATAAGCAAGGTAGATATATAGCTAAGAGCAATTAGCCATTGTGACGTCTGAGTTTCATCTTACGCTCAGAAGGAAAAATTCGTAAATTCACCATTGTATACAAACAACTTAACAAGGGTAAGGCCAAAGTTAAGGACAAAACTTTGCAAGTGAAAACTAAATTGTATTACGTATACAAAGGGTAACTCAATATAGCATGTAGAGAAATATTTAGGAGGCTCTTTGAAAAGTGTAACTCTCTGCTACCTTATAATTTAACGTCAATTTTCGTATTAACATTATAAAATAATATTGTGCAAAAAACATAAGGTGACAAAGAATCTATAAAGAATCATACTTTAAGAGAATCTTCTTAGTATTTTTCTAGCATGTATTATAATTAGTTGGTGCTGTGAAGGGAAGGTAGTTTGGAGACACAAGAATAAAGCATATAAAATTACCATCACTTTGGAGACCAAAGCCCTTTGTTGGGAAGCAATCTCCACAACTTTCTTGAAGTGGTAGCAAAGTTAGAACACAAAATTGGTAGGACATGCATGCACTAATTTGAATAATTTTATCATATATTTTGCTATGGTAACGGTGCCATACATGTTGCTATGGTAACGGTGCCATAGATAAAATAAAAACACACAATTAATGACCATTTGTTTTTCATTTTTTCCTTCTCCACAATTTTATTTATTTATGATTTTTATATTGAATAAACTAAAAAAATTAGAAACAAAAATAAGGAGTAAGATTCTCTCTCATCTAAATTCTCTTTTCCTCCTATTTGAAAAGTCATGATTAAGTTATGACAATATCTTGTATTAACTTCTTTATAAAGATATAGACAAAGATAAAAGTGTGAGAAAGAGAGAGAGAAGGGGAGGAATAGATTTTTCAGTGTGCCAATAACACGATTTGGTACACCAAATATAATACTAGAATTGGTTGGAAACGTTAAAAAAAATGTTCAACCAATTGTATCATGACACGTGGTGTACTGAGCTATGTTCTCGTCACCCTAAAAAGTTTCTCAAGGGAAGAAGAGGGGAAAGGATTTGGATGGGAGATCACTCTACTCCCAAAAATAAATAGAGATGTGTAGAAATGATTCACGCTTGTCAAACTTATGACATTTCATAATATTTATAAAAAGTTGAACTCTAAAATGAAGAATTTTTATTTCCATGAATATTATTGTAATTATAAAAAGATGGAAACTTCCCCTTCATGTCCAAGTGCAGAGTCCTCACTGAAATTTTTGTCCTCTGCTTAAATCAAATTCATTCAATTTCCCACTAGTTTAACCAAAATGAAGCAAATTAAAACCTTATTAAATAGACATGAGAGCAGAAGTTATATACAAACATCTTCAGAGGGAAACTTCCCCTTCATGTCCAAGTGCAGAGTCCACACTGTGAAATTTTTTTCCAATGAACCAATAGGGTGACAAATGAATCTAAATCTCTTGATTTGGGATCCCACGATACTTCAAGCAAACAAGATTCCAGAGGATGGTTCATGCAGTGTTCCCAAATTGCCCACAAGTGTCTCATCTGTCATGAAAGTTCATAATATACTTATTAGTGCAATGAAATAAAGTCAGTTGATGGTTTTTAGTTAAGATTAAAAAAAAATTCACGTCTCTTGATTCTCTTTTGATGATTCAATCCAAAGACATGAGAAGCATGAGGTGTAAACGATAGTGCAAAAGTCACTATACTTGTTGGATAAAACTATTCACACGCCAATTTTACCACTCACACTCTTGCTAATTTTTTGCTATTGATCTTATTCAATTCATTTGATACGATGGTGTGAGACGTTAAAATAAGTGTGTGGATAACACTATCCTACTTTTTTTTTTTTTTTATCTCTAAGTAGATTACAACGATAGAGCCACTTACTCGAGGGAATTTTGTCAACAAAAAAGCATGCGGCAATAACAATGTAGCATAGGAAAAGAATGACTCCTTTCATATAATGTGAAGTTCCATCCTGGAAATAAGAGAATAGTGTAAATTTTTTAGCCAAAAATTAAAGTAAAAGAACAGGAGAATGTATTTTCGTTACTACTAATTTACAAAATCCCCATAGAAAAGTGAGAAATATATAGAGGGTAGATTTAGGAGGAAACCTGCAATGTGAAGGCTGTGATGATTATGGTGAAAGCAAGAGAACCAGTTTCAAGGAGACTGAAATCAAGGTCCATTTGGACGCCCATTATCCATGCAACAATCACACTTAAAGGGATCTGAAAATGACAGGAAAATTTGGTTTCTTAGGAGAAGTTTGAAGAAATTTTCTTTCAATTTTGTAAATGGGTTTACTTAAATTAGGAGTAGTTAGGAAGTAATTTTAAAATGATTAAAGAGTACTTTTAGAGAAAATTTTCCAGAATTTATTTACATTTTTAATAATTTGATTTCAAAAATATTTTCATCAAAAGCTTTTTCAGCAATTTTAAAAGCACTTCCAAACGAGCTCATAGTCACTAGCCAATATTACAAAAGAACAAACAAAATCCACTCGATGGGATCTTAGGGCTTGTTTGTGCCTTTATAAAGACTAAAAGCACTCAACATTACTTGTGAATCAGTTTTAAGTGTTTTTTTAGCTTAGATTTGTGATAATCTTACCACAAACATAGAAATTTGGGATGCAGAACCTAAAGCAACTCCCAAAGAAATATCCTGCATAAAAATCAGAAATTGATAGTCAGATTAATTTCAGAACAATGTAATATCTAAAAGAAGATTATCGAGTGATCTTTTAATGAACTTTTTCTTTTTAATTTTTAGGTGTAACTTACCAACTTATTCTTGAGAGCAAAAATTATGGAACCAGCATGTTCAGCAGCATTCCCAACAATTGGTAGCAAAATAATGCTGATGAAGCTCACAGAAATTCCCCAAGAATTTGATGCAGCCTAATTGAATAAAAATGCATATAATTAGGGATTTACTGAGGAACTAATGCTTCAAAATTCATGATTACGGAATTTTAACCAAAATTATGAAAATCTGATCAAGTTTAGGGTTCTTAGAATAATGATAATGTATATCTAAATATATATATACCTCGATCGTACCCACAACATACTCAGACAAGAGAGCTATGATTGTCATACCAACCAGCCAACTGAATGCACTCCAAAACCCTATCACTGCTATTTCTTCGTCTTCATCTTCATCTTCCTGCTTATATATCGCATTGGAACAAGTTATAGAGTTTTTTCATGTTCTAACAAAAGCGCTTTATCAAAAACACTTTGAAATTTTTAATAAAAACACAAGTGTTTTCTGGAAACACTTTTGGTTATTTGAAACATTTTATAATCATTCTAAAAACACTTCCAAACTAGCTCAAACTAGCTCGCATGTATGTTAATTATTGATAGTTAGTGCATAGGGATTAATCACCTCTTGTGACTCAAACAATTGCCGGTGGGTTTTTAACTGGAAGAAGATATAGGCGACATATGCTATGAGCATAAAAATGCTGCTTGTTCTTGACAACTGAGAGTGTCGATGGCAAAGGGATTGTCCAACCCCGAGGCATATCTGAACATCAGTGGCAGCATGTGGCATAGTAAACCCAGCAATAGAAGTAGTGAATTCACATCAGCCTGCTTCTGTTAAATCCAAAAAAGAAATGAAATTAACAAAAATTCTCCCATTAATTGGTTTTCTAAATTTGTTGAATTAAAAGGGTTAATTTGTTGATAATTAAAGTTTTTATCAATTCATAATATTTCTTACTCTATCATATCTTTGTTCTTTTTTCAGGTTGGCCAAGCCTCCACAGAGAAGAGAGGTCCCAAGAACAAGGAGGAGGTTTGAAAGAATGGAACCCAATAGGGAGTATTTCACAACATTTATTTTGTTTTGGCGAAGAGCAAATAATGCTATGATCATCTCTGTTGCGTTTCCACATGTTGCATTAAGAAGTCCTCCAACTGCAAATTTAATCAAAATTAATTAACCAAAACAATATATAGCATTAGTCCATGTACACTGATTAAATATTGTTTAGTAATAATAACTGGATATTCTAATTAGAAGTGAGATCAATGTACCTGTTGGACCAGTGAAGTAAGCAATTTGCCTGGATTATTTAATTTGAGTAGACAAAATTGGAAGGGAAAAAAACAATGTTAGAAATTGTGTACATATATATGTGTTTATGTCATAATTAAGAGAGTTGCTATTTGCACTTTGCACTCTGAAAAATTCATCACACACTATTTCTTAATGAAAAATTATAGGAAAGTAAAATGACTTTTTCATATTACTAATAACAATTTCCTTCTATAAAATACTATTTTCTAATTAGCAAAACTGCTTACTCAGTAAGGAAGCTGACACGTTCAGCGAGTGGGGTGAGTCCCATCAAACTCAAAGCAAAAATCCAAGGCTACATTGCACAATTAGAACAAATACAAATGAACATCAGAAACCAATTAATTTACAAAAGAAGGAAAAATCTCATATTTCTGATTTGTTGTTCCAAATTAATTAATTAAATGAGAACATGCACTTACTCTCCCGAAGTGATAAAAGTCAGCCAGAATTGCAAGGGGGATGGCTGGGAAGAGCACTGCAAGCTTGGTGCCAAGAACAACCTCGTGCAAATTGTTGAGAATATTTCTAAGCATTTGGAATCGAACATTCGAAACAAGAATCGGGTCGGATTTTTTTCGTACAATCGAAGTTGACAAATTTTGTGGTGTTCTTGATACATTGATCCACTGCTCTCTATTATTTCCTGAACCCTTGTTATAATCACTAATCCCATTCTCTATGTTGTTCAAAGCCTCCTGGGATTCTTCCATGATAGGTATGTCGATCAAAACAAAACCCTAAACCCTTCCACTTTCTTCACCGCGAATGAATGAAGTATTTGGAGCGTTGATGAACAGAAAATGTAGTATCTCTCTTTCTCTCTCTGTTTGTTAAGAAACAATGGGTTTTACATATATAAATATAGGATAAGGCAACTTCCTGGAATTTTCTGAGTTTGTTTCGATTCATGCATGAGTCTCCACGTACTTTAAAAAGACTGGACTCTCTCAGGAGTTACGAGCGGTGTAAGGTTGACAACAAAATAAATATGTTATACCTCTTAAAGCACACAGATAGACTTGCATTTATATAATTATTCATTTTCGACCAAAAAAACATAAATACATGCATATTAATCCAAATAAGGCCGTTACATACAGACAAATAATATTTAATTTTCTAACAAAAGAGGTTATAGATGAAAACAAATGGGAAATTGTATATTTCTGAACATCTTTTAGTCATTAAATTAAACAAATTAAAGGAGAATTAAAGGTTAAAATTGAGAAGAACGTGAAGAAAATGAAAAATAGTGTGTAGAAAACACTCCAAAAAAAAAAACAAGATATTTGGCAAATTAATTTGGGTACATACTTCTATTTCCACCCAGCATAAACGCTCTTCGTACCAAGCAAAATTCGAACTTACCATTTTGCCCATAAAAAATGAAAAAAAAAAAAAAATTCAATCATACACACAACCATTCCCACTTGTACTCCGCCACAACCACGGATGTTAGGACCCGATCCCAGCCTTCCCATGCAAGTCGTTGCCCTCGGCCTCCTCTATCTATTAGAGTTTAGGGTTTAGGATTGAAAAATGAAGGTGAGAATGAGGTACTGTTGTCTTAAGGTAGATGATTGTGGCAAAGTAGAGCAGTTCAATTTGGTATTTTTAATTTGTAGTAGTGTTTATTTAGGGGAAAAATGGGAATTTTGGTTTGCTGGGTATATTTTGCTGAGATGAATCAACTTGCAAAAACTCATTGAAATCAAAAGCCGTTTAGCTAACTAGTTAATTATGATTTTTTTTTTTTGAAAGGATGAACACAATATTGTTAACAAACAATGAAATTTTCACAATATTACTTTAAGTGCTAAACGATTTTTTATTTGAGCAAATTCGAATAAATTCTATAAATGAGGACCGGAAAATTAACTGCTCGGATTATGA